GATAAATACTCTAGAATTGTTATCATGTATAGGACTTAGTCAAGAATATGAACATGAAATCATGAATTGAACTAGAACTATGAATGTATGTTAGACCATGAATAAAAATGATGGAATTTGGGACTTTATGATTAATTATGTCTAGATTTTCCTATGATTATGGTTTGTGACTAATATGTCTTCTGATCCAGTCTAGTATGATGATTGTGGAGTAAAACTTGAATGTAGGTCTTGAGGTAATAATGTTGATCAATAGGGCTTATAGATTGGTTCTAATAGGATGAGTAGCTTGCATATGAATGATATAATAGAGGTTAGAGTTGTTGTGGAAGGCTTTTACCCACATAACCTATCTTGTACTATATGAATGCATGTATGTAGAATGTGAAAGGTCTTCTCACATAGAATGATTCTAAAATGAAAGTTTATTTACCTAAAACGAATCAAAGAATGTTAGAATATAATAGCTTGAATTTGTGTTGTACGGTCCCTTCATGTATAGCTTGTTATGTAGCATGAGTTAGAATTTGTCATGGTAACTTGGGATTGAGGAATTCTTGTAAGAACTAGCTTGACTTAGCATTGCAAGGATGCTTTTCATGGTATCTTGAATCAGCATATGTGGATGCTATTCATGGTAGCTTGCACTAGAGTAGGCTTGGTAGCCTAGGGTTTAAGACTTACACTCTTCTAAGAGTAGATTGAACTAGCATTGCAGATGCAATTAATGGTATCTTGATTTGGTTAGGCCAAGGCCATTTCATGGTAGCTTAGAATTGAGGATTCATACTCTCCTAAGGATATGTTAGGGTTGAGGATGCATACTCCTTTACAGGTAGCTCACATCATTTTTAATGTTTGTATGGTATCTTGGTGGGAATACTTGTATCATTGCTTGAATAACTTGGATTGCATGATAGTGTGTTTTCCATAGTATTTAGGTCTATCCTAGTAGTGAGTTATGCTTTGATAGTCTAGTATGACATATAGTAAGCATTGAGTAAGCTAGCCTAAAGAAATACTTTGTGTGGGTGCTAGTATGAGATTCCATCCATACCCGACACAAGTATGACTTGAAGCTACTTATAAAATGTTCTATTATGTGATGTATGCTTAGCTTGGATTGTTGCTATAGTTGCCTTCCATGATATGGTTGATTTGAGATATTAGTTCCTTGTCTTTATGAAATAGATCAAGAATGACATCTAATACTAAGCATGAATAAAGTGACTTCAAGATATGCTTAGTGTGAGTGATATTATGGGATACCCCTCATGCATTGCACAAGTGTGACTTGAGGTAACTTAGGGTATAAGTGCTCTTATGACATAAAAACTTAGGTCTTAGCTATAAATGTGACTATGCCCAAGAATGACTAAAAAGAGGTACTTAGAGTGGATAGTAATATGGGATGCTATTCTTGCCTTGCACAAGTATACTTGAGGTTGCTTGTGAAGTAGTTCTCTTACAATATGAAAGTCAAAGGTTGAAATATGTAAATATGAAAGTCTAAGTAGATGCTATACTATGAACATAATGTATCTCTTATGCTAATTTATTATATCTTATGTTGACTTGTGATCATATGATGTTTATGTTGGAGATTATGCTTATGGATATGTTATTATCTATTATACTCTTGTCTCATATTGAGTAATCATTTTGAGATGCTCTTATGATGTTGTGTTAGCTTTCATACTTGGTAAATTGTGTACTAATGCATATTGCCTACATGCTAATCAAATGCAAGGTGTTGGAGATTGAGTTGCTTTAGTGGCTAGGTTCCTAAGGTACAAGAAGAGTCGAAGAACTGGTTAGTCCTCATAGCTTCGAGGACAAACCCCTTATGTTTTCCTTTTGTGGTTTCGTTATGTTTTAGACATTATGTGGGCTGCGTCCCAACTCTTCTATTCAGGAGTTTTAATAGATGGTTTGAGATAAATATGTAGTAATGTCCTCTGCTTACTTATTAATTTTTTTTTGATTGAATTGTTCAAAGAAGTTTTAAAGTTTCCCGATATTTCAATGATGTTATGTTATGATTATGATAGGGGCTTGTATGCAACCCCTTTAGGGTCATGTACGCCATGTTACGTCTAGGGTACCCCTGAGTCGTGGCAGAATGTCCCACATATCAAGCACTTACTATTTTTTTCCATAAAATTTACCTTTTACCTTTTGTTTACTTTCATCAAACAGACTCTCCTTATTTTTCAGTCTCATTTTTATCTATCTTGTAAATGTATTGTTATGAATCTATACATCTTACTTTATATGCATTATACATAGTTAAGAAAATTGGTCATTTTATTTGAATGATATTATTATTATTTTGTGAGTAAAGAATTTATTAATCATATTTTTTTCCCGAATTTTAAAAGTACTGAGAACCATTAAATTTTTTTTATCGATTTTAGCACTTTTCTTGTAGTTTTATGGTATGATTGTTTTATGAGTCAAAAAATTTGGTAATTATTATATTCTCTTAAAAATATTATAACCCATTAACTATTTAGAAATTTATAGAACTTTTATTGTTGTTTTAAAACAGGGATAATACACAAGTACCTAGACTATAACCGAAATTCTAACGACACATCTTAACTTAACTAAGGTCAAATTACCCCGCCCCCTAAACTAATTTAAAATGGAATAAATACACCATAAATGTCGACATGATATAGAGAGTGAGCAAACTCTCTTGAAGGCAAGTGGTGAGTGAACAATTAGATACATGTCATTATTTAGTTGATAACTTTATAATTAGTTAGTACACATAATTATGAATATTTAAACATAGATATATTTAATTATTTTCATTTTTTTGTAAAGTAATTATTTTTATTTCTTTCTTACTTTAATTTTTTATATTCTTTTTTCTTTCGTCAATTTCTTATATTTTCACTTCTAATTATTTTAAAAAACTTATATGTATTAATTTTTAGAAATTATTAAAACTATCCTCTGATATAAATTTTTTTTTTTGTTTTATTTGATTGTACTCACTTATTTTACTACCCCAATTGAAATTAAATTATTTAGATATAAGAAATTTAGAATTAAATTGAAATCAAATCAAAAGGAAAGACAAAGTAAACAAAAAGATTAAATAAAATCATTACAAAAACAAAAGAGAAAAAAATAATGAATGAAGAAAAAAAAGATGTTTAGATACAAATTTTTTTAAAAATATGTGTACTAATAAAATTTATATACACGATAAAGAATATAAGATTTTTTATAAAAGAAAATTTACAAAATAAAAATTTTAAAAAGTTACATAAAAAATCTATTTTTTTAAAATAAAAGTTTATTTTTTTTAAAAATAATAATAATTAAACACGTGGCAGACGCGTCCGTACAAATGCAGTTAACTTGGGTGGTTGAAGGTGCTACATAAACACAAAAGATGCACAAAATAATGAAAAAGTGAGTTTTTTTTGGGGGGTGGGGAGTGGGGGGTGGGTGGGGGGGGGGGATACTAGAACCCTAGTTAAGTTTAGGTGTGTCGATGGAATTTCGGTTATTCCTTTAAAATATAAAGAACTTATATAAATTTTTTTAGTGAATCCATACCCAAATTAAAAACCAAATATTTTAATGTTTTGATCCAAGTACTTATCACAATCCAAAATCACTAAAGTAATGATGATACCTACACCATCCCTCTGATAGATAAGACAAACCTATCTTAATTAGGCAAGTACTTGTCACAATCCAAAATCACTAAGGTACTGATGATACCTACGCCATTCCTCTGATAAATAAGACAAACCTATCCTAATTAGGCGGAAAAGAAAAAATCAAAGGAAATAAGTCATAATATAACTTTTCATAAATACAAAAATACGCAAAACACCAAAATAAAACTTCATTATTTGGTGTCACATGAACAAGAGTGACTAAGAGGGAGATAGAGAATCTCCATGTAGCTCACACGAACACCCAAAAATAAATGCACTTGGCACGAATCAAGAAGGCATACTGGAACAGAAAATAGAATATGCATCAAAAGATACAATAATTGTAATTGAACGAGAACACGTGTATTAGAAGGTATCATTGGCCGATAAAGTTGAAGTCTGACTATATTAGCATATATAGTACAAAATCTACCCCAAATAAGTCCTCAACTTCTAAGCAGTTAATGAGAGATGGCGAGAGACAACAAATTTACATCACCCAATCAACAACATATGTGAAAATCAAATAAAAATAAGGTGTGACATGATGTAGTGGTTGTATCATCATATCAATATACATCTACTCCCACTAGTAGCATGCTGGGATTAAAGAAAATGACCCATGGGGGACTTACAGGTACATATAACCATCACAGAAATTCTCCCTCAGGTATGCGTAATTTAACTTGCTGGAAGTCAACCTCGATATCATAATAGCAATTTTTGGGAACCATTTTGCATTTGGGTTATAACTATATTATATTTATCATACTATTTTCGTGATTCATGACAAATGAATATGTATGATTGATCACAATAAAAAAGAATGACCATGTTCTACTTAAGCAAGTATATCTCTTATAAAATAGTGTCCTTAGGCCACTGACCCCATCAAGATACGTTATAACACATGAATATGAGTGACGCAACAGAACATATGCAATTCAAGTCACGTAACATCTAGTAGATATTTCCTATTTAGATAGCACATAAATAATCCACTAATTTAAACACCGAATAAACCAATAAACCATCTCTAGAACAAAGTTTAAGAGAGTAATCATAATCTACCTTGAAAGCCCAATAGTCGTGCCATGAAATGTTAAAAAATAAAGTCTTGGAGCTTTCATATTTTATTAAAAATATACTCTATATGTGTATACGAGTCTATCAACACCTATATTATTATTATTTTAAAAAAATTTATGGACCAATGGCCCATTTATTTATCATAAAGAAGTATCACACAAAACAGGCCAAAAAATAGCCCAATTTAGACCAAATGACAAATAGCCCAAAAAAGAAAATAAAAGGACAACTCATGTTGGTCTTGATGTTCAAGAACTTGCCATTCCTTAAAATAGGGTTTTCTAAAGAAAACGTCCCATTTCTCACTCTTTTGTACTCCTCCGTTTCTATGTTTCTCGCTCCCTTCACCCTCTATTTGCTGGTGCTTCATCCCTGGGTCCCTAACATTATTCATCCATGGAAAACTAGGATATATCAGCTCAAAAAGGTATATAGAACTTATTTTTTTATCCAGTCCCAACTATCATTGACCTTTCTCTTTCCTTTTTGTAGATGTGAAATCCGATGGAGGTGTTTAGAGTTCAAGATAAACTTTTTTGTTGATTTAATCATGAAACTCCTTCTAGAGGCTTGAGGTATGTAAACACCTATACTTATGTATAAACTCTAGTAAAATGACTCACAAAGACAATCCTGAGCCCCTAAATTCAAAAATTGAAAATTGATTTCTGAATTAGATTAGACATCGTGTGAAAAGCTCATGCGCCTAAAATAAGCTGAATTTGATTAATTGATTCTCAAATATAGAAATTACATCTAATTTATCTTAGGATATTTAACTTCATTTCCCCAAATCAAATACAAGTTTTTGGTAACTGTAAATCTTATTAGTTAACAGATGTGTTATTTTGTACAACTTGGAACTTTGGATATAGACATGTTCCAATTTAAGATCCAAATCTTCTTTACACTTGTATACTATTCTAAAGATAGAAATTAAGACTATGCATATATCTTATTATCCTAGGCATCATGCCAGATCTATGATGCATATCTTGAATAATTAGTTAGTTGATCGTGTATGTAGTCCTCTCCTTAGGCAATTTTGTGTACATCTGCCATGGTAGATTTTCTAGTAGCATGGTCTGTGTCCTATTCCATTTCGTTATTCCGTCTAGTGCTACCCCTTGTGACCAACTAAGCATCTTTTTCCATATCTGTTATGATAGTGAAAAGGTGAAAAACAGGTGCTAATGTGTTTCAATTTCTGCCTTGCATAATGAATATACAACTTCATCAATTATTCCCTAGTTGCTCAGTCTGTCTTTGGTGTATAGCCATATATTGTGCAAACACCCATTTAGGATTGCCTAGATTGTTGCAAGTCAATATTCTCCATGAGAACTTGTTGTACTCCCCCTTTCTTATACATTTCTTTAAAGTTGAACTCTTTTTCTTCCATGATTGCAGGTACTTGTAAATCCCTCTCTTCAAGCCATTGTTCATCCTCGAGAATCTTCTTTACCATCCATGATACTTTCTTGACTTCCACCTCCCATGATGTTGACCCTTTAGCTAAAAGATATGAACCCACACAATCCATAATTTTTCCTTTTTCTTATAGTGGGTTTACATATGTTTTAATATGGTTGCCTTATTCCACACCTATATATTAGTTATATGGAGTCCTCTAGCAGCCGTTGGGAAACAAATTATTTCCCAAGATATGAGTACTTTCCCTTTATTTTGTAATTCACCATTCCATAGAAACCTTTTGCACATAGATTTTATTTTTTGTAATATTTTTTTGGCATTAGGAAGATATTTGACCAGAATCCTTGCATGGCTGATAAGACACTATTAACCAATTGAAGTCTTACCGCATAAGATAGGAATGAACGATGAATTAGTAGGGAAGTAGAAAATACTAAGTTACATTCTAAACCCTTAATCAAATCATGAAAATCCCCTTAGAAATCACCTAGACCAAACTCTCAGTGTCCCAAAATCGAGTTATAAACTATGAAATTAGATTGGGGAACAAAAATACCGTTCTACATATTTTAGACAAATCAAATAATCTTCACACCGGCGAGCTTACAAAGCAGGCAAAATTATATAGAAATGGAAGGAACCTCACAAGTGCGAGGTTATTGATGTGGACTATCCTAGCAAAGCGAACCCTGGTGCATAGTGAATCCTCCGCTGAAGGAAACAATAAATCATAGAAGCATATCCTCATAAAACTAAGAAACCTACCCGAATACCCTTAAGCTCGTAAAAGAGGAATCAGTGCAGAACCTCCCGAAAAAACCAAACATACAACTCTAGCTTATTGGAATAATTAGATCATCAATTGATGAAGACTTAGCCAAATGTTAATTGGGGTCAAATCTAAACTTGAGGGAAAAAAATCAATTCAATGACACCATTCACTTTCGAATACCTTGATATCCATGTAAAATATTTTATTAAATCATAAATCACCCCTAAATCTCATGGAATCATCAAAATTTATATCGGAGCTCGTTAACCTAAATTATTGACTTTGGTCAATTATCACAATTCAAAACTCTAAAAATAGTTGTTCCTAAGATTCTACTTAGAGCACCTCGAGAATTATTTCATCTATCTATACAAGTCATTTAATAATGAATGAATTTGTGAGAAGGACAAAAACAAGAAGAAAAACACAAAGAATATGAGGATCACTATATTACTTCAAACCTTTCACATAACATAAAAGTATTAACTTCTCCAAAGTTGGAACGCCCTTCATGAAATTTCTTGTTACTTCATGGATTGCATCACTAATTATTTCATGTCAATGCAAAATTATTATATTTCAAAATATAATCTACACGCAGAGAAAATAATTTAAGATTGCCCAACTTTTTATTTATCAAATATGCATTGCAATTATTTTTCTTTCTTAAAAATCTTGAACAACAAGATTTACTTCTTTAGATCATTTTCATCATATTCATTGATTTGTAGTAATTGTTTTTCTTTATGTAATGTATCCTCTATATAAATCGACAAGCTAAGACATTTTGCTAAAATAGTGGTCTTAAGTTATTGTAGATTGATTATTCTCTGTGATGATATATCTTGATAACTTATTCAATTCACCCTTTTCTCCAATTTCATTACTTTAGAGACATTTTTTTGAGCAACCATAACAATTTTTTTTATCTATTTTAATCTTTATGTAGGATACTTGACCAATTTCATTTATGTTAATGACATATACTTCTAAATGCATGTGTATTATGAAAAAAATTATCATATGTATGGTTTTAAACTAGCTTTAGAGTCATGTGGTATATTTTCAGCTATAATTCTCTTTTTCTTGAGGAGCTTCCAGTTCTTTTTATTTAATTGAGAAACTCATTTCCATTAAAAATGTTTTAGAGATATAGTTTGGGGAACTTCATTTTCCCTTATTTTGATTTGTGTAAATAATTTTTGGTGTTTTGTTTTACTTATATTTGCTTTTTGATGTAGTCTTTCTACATTTAAAAGAAAAGGAAAGTGATTCAGAACAGAGGTATGTGCAAATGTTGATCCAACTATTAATGGATGTTGCAAGAACATGTAAGATGACTTAGTCACTTTTGTTTTTAGGTATGCCCTATTTTGTAGTTTTAAATAATGTATACTGTTTCTAATGTTTGTATTCAACTTCGAGTGAAACTGTAATTAATCTCTGTTAGGTTGATAATTCGTTGAAGTGTTAATTGATGAGTAGAATTACTTCAATTTATGGTTCTCATCTCCTTGTTAATTTTTTAAAGAGCTAATGTTTCCTTAACCCTACCGGATATAATAGATATGAAATGAGTGCCCAACTCCAAGCCAAATGCAAAACTCAATACCATAGTCAAGAAGAACACTTGGAAGATCTATCATAAATCCTCTGAGAACTCTCTCAATACTAGAAATACCCCAATGCGGAAGTGTCAACACCAATATTATGACCATAGGCCTAATAAAATACACTCTCTCAACCAACCATTGAGCCTTTAAAATTACAATATATACCCTTCCACTTTAACCTGAGGATTCTCGGCAATAATAAGTGTTAGTATTTGAATTATTGATCTTGCTCACAAACATGCAACCTGATCCCATATTTGATCAGGTATCTGAAGTCAATTGATGAACATGTAAAATATTATTACTTCTAATGTGGTTGGTGAGCGCAAGCAACGGGACAAGTATACTCAACAAATCAGAAAGCACTATGTTATTTTATTCAACAGATAATATATCTTTATTGACATGAAACAACCTAGTTAAGAAATTCATAGCAAACAAAAGGTGAAATTTGTCTTTGAAAAACTCAAGCTTTCACCACACACCTTAAGGGACATGATAGAGTTATAAGTGTGTTTTTTGTTTTTTTGTTCGGAAATGCCTGTGATGTCTTGTAAGATCCATTTCTAATTCTATAAAGGAACAAATTCAGCTTGTCTGAAGTTAACACATGAACACTGTTAGAGCTAGTTGTGCGGTGTATGATTGAAGTTTATATTAATTAGAATTATTTAATATAATGGGCAATACATGGATTGGTTTGACTTTTTTATAATTTTTTATAATAGGGTTATTACAAGTTGTGATGTTAAGAGCCTAATATTTGTATGTGCATTTGATGTATGTATTAACTTGTTGCTTGAAAATAGTTAAAACAGTTGAACAACACCGTCCGACTCGTGATTTTTCTCTCTTGAGCAAAGAAGTTTCCACATAAATTTCCCATGTTATTTTACTTTATTGTTTAGTCTCTTTTATTGCAATACTAGTGTATTATCAACCCAGTCCCTTAGCACGCAGTGGATTAGCACATCAGTTCAATAATTATCAGAACATACTTTTATATTTGATTAGCATCAAGAAATGATCATGCAAATATGACATCCCTACCAAACATAGAAGAAAGACAGTCTACAAATCATCCCCCTAGTTTTAACGAACAATAATCGGTGGGTAAGATTTAAATACATGACTATATCATGGCAGAAGGCAGTGAAATATGGGACATAATCCGGTAGCCCTCATATTCCCATTACGGATGTCAAAGAAAGAGAGCTAACTCAAGTGGTTCTTAAGACTAGAAAAGAATATGATGAAGCTCATAGAAAGAAGATAGAAAAGATTTATAAGACCAAGAAGTTATTGGCTTGTGGAATTGGTGTTGATTAAAACAACATGATCTCAGAATGTGAAATAGACAAGGAGAGGTGGGACTGTCTTAAAACACCTCATGAAGGAACCATACGAGTAAATTAATCTACTTAAGATGAGAACTTTAGCATGAAAGAAGGAGAGAGACCATTCATGAGATGCACACCATATTCACTTCCATTACCAATTAGCTCTAATGACTCGGTGAACAATTTATCCAAGAAACAAGGTCCAAAATATTCTTCGAATCCTTCAAAATCATAGGAAAGCAAAGTAAATGCAATAAGTGATGCTAGGGACCCAAAGATTCTTGCCATGGACGAGTTGATTGGGAACCTTCAAACATATGAACTAAAAAAGAAGTAAGAAAATTAAAAAAAATGAGGGAAGGGAACACATGTCCTGGGACTAAAAGCATCACCAAGTGACATGTCGAAAGATGATGATGAGATGCTATCTGGATAGAAGATATCAGAAAATAGTAGAAAAATGGAGGATTTCTGATGAAGGGAAAGTCTAGTTGCTCACCATAAGTCAGTGATATGTGTAACAAGTGCGGAAATCTAGGACACTTCATGAGACTGTCCAATGCAGAAGCTGGAATACAAAGAGTATGCCTAGAGTGCACGATATATATAAAAACGTAGCAACTAGATTCCTGACAATGCCAGAAGAAAAGAAACTTCTAACCAGGTGGTAAAGAAAGCTCTTGTTGTATGTGGAAACTCCTCCAACGACTTTGAGGAACTAGAACACCATCAATATGCTTCCATGATGGTGTTCAAAGATAAGGAAGAAATTTTTGAGTCTCTCTTCTCATTAATGTTAAAAATGGATAATGAAGACATTAAGGAAGACGTAACTCTTCCTGACCTCAAAAGTAACATAAATACTTACTCCATCAAAAGGTTAAGAAAACTTGTTGTTGTTATAATTGATTATATATATTAATTATCTGTTGAAAAGAATCCTCTTAATGAGAATCAATATTTTTGGATGAAAAAACAACCTTAATATCTCAAATATATGAAATAAATGATAGTATGATGGTTTTGGTGGCTGAAAATCTGCAATTCAAGGAAAAACCTGAAACTCTCTAAATGAAAAAGGGAAGCTTAGTAGTTTTGAGTTGGAAATGGAAGAGAACTTAAAATTTTCTAAGTTAGTACTAGCTGCCACACTAGAAAGAAATACTCAGATAGAAGTGGATCTTTGTCAAGATAAGAATGATTTAAATAGATCCTTGAAATGGAATAACTCTACAAAGATTCTGGAATTTTTGACTACTCAGAAATACAATCACAGAAAGTATATCTCTGTCTCTTATAACTTGTTGTGTACTCTATATGGTAAAAATGGTCATCTGAAAAAATATAGTGAATCCTTAAAGAAAGTGAATGAAAGCTTGGAAAATTTTTGTTAACATAACATGAAAAAGTATAAATGAACCTAGTCCTAGTGACAAGTTAAAAAAAACCCGCCTTCATCGACGAGAAAGTCTCTTATCAAGCCTTTTTCTAGTTTTTGGGAACCCCTACTCAAGTGGGTTCCTTAATCTAACAACTAATTCTTCATCTGCAGAAGAGAGGAAGCAATCAATGGTTTTTTTTGGACAACTTATTTTCCAAGCTTATGACTAGAGAAACACACAATTTCCTTTCTCTTGAAGCACATCAAGGTGGTAGTGTGTCATTTGGTAATGAAAAGAAGGGTTACATTCTTTGTATTGGGAAAATTGGAAGATCTGTGGAGCATTCTGTAGATGATGTGCACTATGTGAATAGGTAGAAGTATAATTTTCTCAATGTATCTCAGAACGGCGACAGGGTAAATGAGGTTACATTTTTGTGTTACAAATGTATTGTCACACATTTAACCTCTTGTGAGGTCATATTGATAGGTAAAAGCCTCAAGAGCATGTGTAGCTGATTTGGACCCAATACGAGGAAATAATCTTACGTGTCTCAATGCTCAAAGTAACAATGTTAATATGTGCCATAGAAGGTTAGGCCATGTGTGTGCCTCACTTTTGAGAAAAGAGGACTTGGTTAATGTTCTACCAAACTAATATTTAGAGATAAACAGATTTGAGATGCATGTCAGAGAGGTGTAAGCACAACCATGACACCAAATCTTCTTCATATTGATCTATGGAGACTTGTAAGAATTTTAGAGTAGATGTTAAAAGAAGTACATTCATATGATAGTTCATAATTACTTAAGATTCACCAAGACAATTTTCCTGAGGAGCAAGCATGAAAAATTTAAAGTCTTGATCATTTTTGAAAAAATGGTTCAAACAAAGCTAAATTACAAAATGGCTAGGATCAGCTCCGAGAACCCCTTAAAACAATGGGGTAGTCGAGAGGCAAAATAGAATGCCGTTTGATATTGTAAGGATTCTACTAATTGATTCTAATCTTGCAAAGAGTTTTTGATAGAGGTGGTGAAGAAAACCTCCTATGTAACCAACATGTGTCTTATTAGATCTGTTCTAAAAAATCCTATGAATTGCTCAACAAAAGAAAGCCTAAGATTAGTTATCTTATGGCTTTGGGTTGCAAATGTTTCATTCTCAACAATGGCGAAGATGATCTAGGAAAGTTCGATCCTAAGAGTGATGATCTTTGTGGGGTACTCCTCAACAGTTAAGACATATATAGTCTTTAACAATGAAAATTTATGCATTGAGGAAAGTGTTTATGTTATCTTCGATAAATGGTAAAATGAATAGTATAAAGAGCAGAGATGAGATTGAAATTGAAGACCTACTGCATGTGCAAAGAGATAGCCTTCTTCTAGAAGCCATAAATAGTGAACTGTCTCTAGTAAAGAAAATCCTGACCTTGAAGAGGGACTTGGTCAATCAAACAAGAAAAATACTGCAGATCAAGTGAAATTGAGGAAGCTGACTCTAATGATGATGAATAATTTGCACAACCAGCCCCTGAGTCTTCAAAATGGATTGCAAATAAACATTAGCCATCTCATATAATGGACAATCTTATCTCTTTATTGAATTTTAAGATACACACCAGGTCTCAAACTAGAAATCTCATGGCTTTCTCATCATTCATCTCCACCTTTGAATGCAAAAGAGTGAAGGAGGACTTGAAGGATGCTGACTGGATCAAATCAATGTAGGATGAGCTTCATCAATTTGAAAGAAATCAAGGGTGACACTTGGTCCTACACTAGTAGACAGAAGTGTAATATGAACTAGCGGGTGTTAAAAAAATGGAATGAGAACAAAGTCATCACAAGGAACACATCAAGACTAGTAGTGAAGGGCTATATTTAAGAAGAAGGAATTAATTATGAAGAAACATTTGCTCTTGTCACCATGATGGAAGTTATCATAATTCTAATTGCTTTTACCTCATACATGGGCTTTAATTTCTTTCACATGGATGTAAAAAGTGCCTTCTTGAATTGGTACTTGAAAGAAGAAGTATATGTTAAACAACCTCCTAGTTTCTAAGACATTAATCTACCAAATCATGTGCTGAGATTGGATAAGGATTTTTA